TGTGTCTGACAATTTTATTCTTTACTATTGTTTCGACTAATTTGCCCGGTACCGACGTTAGACTTACCCGGTCTGTAATTGCCGGGATCACCTCTAGAGCCCTTTTTAAATATTGGCGTTACATTCGCTATCTTCCAGTCATTGGGTACAGAAGCTGGTTTAAAGGACAGGTTACTAACCATAGGTAATAGTGCCGTAATTTCACATTTGAGTTCTTTCAGAACTCTTGGGTCAATGCCATCTGGTCCCGGTCACTTGTTACTGTGAAGTTTATCAATTAATTCCAAAACCTCCTCTAGTGACACTTCAATCTGTGACAGTTCCTCAGATTTATCACCTACAAAGGACGGCTCAGGTTTGGGAATCTCCCTCACATCCTCAGCCGAGAAGACTGAAGCAAAGAATTCTTTTAGTTTCTCCGCAGTGACTTTATCATCTTTAAGCGCTCCTTTTGTATCCAGATCGGCCAGGGGCCCCACTGGTTGTTTAGCAGGCTTCCTGCTTCTGATGTACTTAAAAAAAAAATTGGTTATTACCTTTTTTGCAACAGCGTTACATATTTAGCTTGTGATCCACTCTGACCCCCAGATCCCTTTCCGCAGGACTCCTTCCTAGGCCGTCATTTCCCATTGTGTGTGTGCGACTGATGGTTGCTTCCGAAGTGGGGTACTTTGCATTTGTCCTGACTGAATTTCATCCTATTTACTTCAGACCATTTCTCCAGTTTGTCCAGATCATTTTGAATTTTAATCCTGTCCTCCAAAGCACTTGCAGCCCCTCCCAGCTTGGTATCATCCGCAAACTTTACCGGTGTCCTCTGTGTGCCATTATCTGAATCATTGGTGAAGATATTGAACAGAACCGATCCCTGCGGGACCCCGCTCGTTACGTTCCTCCAGCCTGACTGAACCCCTGATAACCACCCTCTGGGAACGGCTTGCGCCCGTTTCTCTCCTCCCAGGGCCCCATCCCCAGCCTCCTCGTTCGGCCCCTGCCCCGGGTGGGGGGGCGTTGCTATTGGGGTTCATCTCTCCCCACTGACATCCCCCGGCTCCGCTTGTCCCAGCCCCGCTGGGGGGGTGTCATCTCCCCATTGACCCCTGGCTCCCCCTGCAGATCGAGTGCTCCAGCATCTCCGACTACGCTGTCAAAATCGTCAAAGCCAACAAGCTGGACCATGGTGAGTGGGAGCCCCCCTGCCCCCACTCCCTCTCCCACAGGAGCTCCCCTGGCGCGCCCCCCCCCGTCTTTCCTGGAGCGCTGCCTCCTTGGAACCTCCTGCCCTCACCCCTGGAGCCCCCCGGAATCCCCTGCTGTCTCCCTGGGGTGTCCCCCTGCCCCTACGCCCTCTCCCCCAGGGCCCTCCCGGAGCCACTCCCCCCTTGCTCCCAGGATGCCCCCCCGGAGCCTCGCTGGGCCTGGTCATGGCTCCTCCCACCCCGACAGGGGTGGCTCTCCCCACAGGGC